ACAATCAGAATATCACAAGATAATTGAGTGCGAAGAAAAGAAAGATGGTAAACCCGCCTACCAAGATTTGGGTGATCGACCTCATCGGGCATACCCACAGATCTCCTTTCTAGACCCTGGTGCGTGAGGCTCGATCGACGAGGGGGACCCTGGCCAAATCTTCGCAGTCAACGGTTTCAGTGAGTAATGCGCGGACCGACTGCTGTTTATGTGTTATTTCTTCTATGGCAATCGCGACGATGGTAAAGACGACGATGGGGTGAGGTGACATGATGTGTGCTGTATTGTGATGTTTGCAGCGGAGGTGCAGGAGGCGGCATGTGAGTGGCCAGACCACAAGTCGATGATGGCTGCGCCGCCCGCCCATCGCTCGGGAAACGGACGTGCGAGAATATCGTTTTCGTGCGTGGAACGCGCAACGCTGCATGACAAGGCCGTGTAAGCAGCCCGTCGACTCCACGATATTCTCACGAGGTATAGCAATGACGGTCCATGACATATCCACCTCCTCGAAAAGTCTTGTCCTCGTAACGTCCAAGCCCAGAATACGATGGGCGCATTGATGCTTTCCTCGGAACAATATCGTGTTGCGGAGCCCTCATGTTATATTTAGGGTTGCATTGCCCTCTAGCGCTAGTGTCTCTCGGGCTGCCCCCTGCTTGTATCCCATTCGCCGCCGCCCGCCGCTGGGCTGGTGCTGCTGAGCTGGGCTGGGCTAACAAGTCAACGCTGAGACCATCAAACCTCTCCTTTCACTTCCGCCGTTGAGACAAAAACCATCAATCGCTTTATCGCTTACCTCGACCTGTCGCCTATCTTCACCCTTCGCCAGTCGCTCGTTTATACGGACGGAGAGGTGTTAACTGTAATATCCATTCGTCGTTTCTCCGCGTAATACTTGTGTCGCGTCGCCTCCGGAGCTCTTCTTCTCTCCCGTCCCGTCCCGTCACGCCTGAGAGTTGTACGATACCTGAGATTCCACGAGGACCTCTTCCCGCTTGCGAAACGAGGTTTTAGCCGGTACACACGTTTTTGGAGCTTCGAAGGACCAAAGGAGACTTGTTTTAGGCATCATTCGGACAAGATGAGGCCGTCTCAGCTTCTCGCTGCCGTGGTGGCCATGTCGTCGGTCACGCATGCCATGAACGTCAAGCATGCATTCGACAACATCCATGGGTTGACTGATGTCAAGAACGTGCTCATGGGACGTCAGGATAACAGTACGTTCGAGCATCTTTGAGATTGTATGGTCGGGTACTAATATCATGGGTTAGACAACAATAACAACGACAACGCCTCAGACGCACCCGCCAGCACACAGCCCGCGAAGACATCCGCAGCGGACAAACCCACCGAGACGGGCGGCGACAACAATAACAACGATAACAACGACAATAACAACAATGACGACAACAAGTCCTCCGGCACCGCAAAGGAAACTGCCAGCGGCACTCAAAAGCCCAGCGGCTCCAAGACAACAGGCAAAGGCTCAAAGTCCACCAGCTTCGACGCCCGCCTCCCCGCCGGCGGCCTCACAATGGTCACCCCCAACGCCCTCGCCGGCACACAATTCTACAAAGTCGGCGACTGGGTGACTTTCGCCTGGAACTACACCTCCCTCTCCGTGACCCCCTCGGCCATCGACGTCCTCGCCTCCTGCACCGCCAACCAAGCCACCTACACCATCGCCGTCAACATCTCCGCGAAGCAAACAGAGGTTCTCTGGGATACCAAGCACACGCCTGATGGCCAGGCACCATTTCTGACCGAGAACTACAAGTTGCTCATCTACGACTCCGATCTTAGTGCTACTGCGGCGCCGAGGCCGGGATATCTGGGTGCTTTCACTGGCTTCACGTTTGGCATGTACTTGCCGCAGGAGTACATTTCGCTCAAGGATGGATACACTTGCCCTAACTGCAACGGCGCGCTTTCGCTTTCTGAGAAGAAGACGCTGGCTGCTATGCTGCTTACTACCGGTACGACGATTGGCTCTATGCTTTACTTCACGTATCAGTTTGGTGTCTGGTAGATGAAGCGAAAGACAGTTTCTACAGCATACAAACACACAAAACGCACGACTCGACGCTTCACCGCTTACGATAACGGCATATCACAAAACATTCCTTTTACGCCGCTTCACACCTGTCCATATTCTGCAGCACTCATTTATACAAAAAGATCGGGCGCTTCCGGTTAGGGGAGCAATCTATGGGAGCATGTGTGTTTTTACACTCCTTTTGGGACAATATGGGCATCCGGTGTTTGGGAGTTACTGTTGGTTGAAAGACAGTGTTCTGCATTTGGCAAGTGAGTATAAAGATATGTAATACTTGGACCGTTTTCAGTAAAGCTGGATGAGCATATGTGGATAAGGATAGGTGGGTGGATTGGAAGAGATGGCAGTTCCATGTTGCATCTTTGTCATTTAGATTGAAAAGAGGGAAAACAAATGATAAAACATGTTAAGCACTTCACTTCAGTATGACGATATGCAACGTGAGAAGTTTCTTCCTGGAGATGGCTGGACCTAACGAGGTCTAGAGAGGGGGATAGAGACAGTGTCGTTCCTATGCAACACTACCAGGCGAGCGGGACTCGTATGATCTACTTGTATTACACACGCCTGTCTTCATTAGCTTTCTCATGCGCTTTGAGGCAAGCACCCTCGGACTCCAACTCAGAAGGAGAAGAAGATTCCCTCCTTCCCTGCAGCGAAGGTGCAGCTTCTCCGGTGGGTGGTGATCATAGCCATCATCACTTTTCCACAATCTGTGCGACGAGATGACGGCCTGTGCGTCTTCATCTGCATATAAATAGCTCCTTTTTGAGTTCTGACTCTCTTTCTTACAACTAAAACCATTCCTTCAATTTCCAAAAACCCATGGATCGAGATCGCATGTGTGGAGAGGACGTTCTCTCTTCCATCAAAACAGCGGCTGTGATCGAATATGGAGACTCCATGCCATGGTTTCTACCTTTCAAATGTTGTGCAGTAGTGTTGTATGTTCTCCCCACTGCGATTTACAACTTATACCAAAACCAGAGGATCCGCTTATGGATGGTCCTCTCTGTCCAAAAACGCGGATCCAAATAAGCTTTGTCTTTCGCCCTTTTCCCCCACCAAAATAGACCGCACGACATGTTGATGGTGGCCAGAAAGAGCAAGACGTATTTGACATGAGCGACGCTGCCTCCGCAACAAGCAATAGCGCATAGCGTCTCGGTGTCGGTATAAACATCTACTCGCTCACACCTTTACACTCTTCTTTATACTCCGCCCCATTCTCGATTTTCCGAAAATGACACTCAACTGGATCATGTCTGAGTCGTTCTTCCGCGTCTCTCAAAAGCTATCGAAATCACCGCTATGTCGTCGCTCCAGACCGTGCCTGTTACTAGGTATTATCAAAAACCGTCAACCCCGTACCCATGTCTGCCTCCTCGGACGAGCCGCGAACTTCTTCGAAACGAGAGATATCTTGATTATCTTCTCAATTCAAAATACTGACGAAGACAACGAAGGTCTTTCGCCTGCCGTCGAAAAACCTACCTAAAAGCTAACATGACTTCCAAAACCACGAGGCCTTCCGCTGATAACAATAAACGCGACCTTCAAGAAAGCTATGCCGCACAGGTCTTCTTGTGTATAAATACCTGCAACTTGAACGCCTCTTACTCTTCTTTATCACACCAACACTTCTGATTCTTTCCAAAAAACACCGCGGTAACCCATCATGTTGGTTGCGCGACTCTTTGTTCAAAAAAGGCACATTCCACTGTGATGCGAGCGCTGCGAGCCACAACTACTATCATAAAAACGTAAGTTTTTTCTCTCCATGTCTTTGTCCTCGAGCGGCATGCAAATCAATTCAAAAGACGGAACAGACCATCCGATGCTGGCCGTCCTCCCTGAACGCTAAGATCACATCCCGTGCATCTCTTCCTGCGCATATAAATATCTGCCACTTGGGCACTCTCTTCTCTTCTTCATTCCAACAGTCGTTCTTCATATTCTCCAAAATTGAAATGGCCGACATTGATGTTGGTCGCGCTTTCTCGGTTTCTCAAAAATGACATTCACGTCCACCATGTAAAAGGTTCGAGCCATACCTTCTATCACCAAAACTCCGTGGAGCGTCTATAATGTCTTTGTTCCCAAGAAATTTACAAATCATTTGAGAAAAACGCGCATGGAGCGTCTGGTCTCTTCTCCGTGCCAACGCCACACCTCAAACATGGATCTTGCTCTGCCTCTGTGCATATGAATACCTGCAACTTGGACTTCTACTTCTCTTCTTCAGTACAACAACTACCCTTCTTTCTCCAAAAAAGAATCCCGCATGGCCCATGTCGCTGGCGCCTTCGGTGTTCCTAAAAAAAAATACAGAGGAGCCATGTGAAAGATCCTACTTACGCCTTCTATCCACTCAAATGAACACCGCCACACTTGATGTCTTCGTTCTCGGCTGGACTTCAGCTCAATTCAAAGTCGCAAACATGATCTCAATGTGTTGACTGAGTTCGCCGTTCAAAATAAAAGCATACTCTAATATGTTCTTTGCCTGCCGTCACCAAAGTCCTAACAGGCTATTAAAACTTGATCAAAAAAATGGCTTCTGGACTTCAATGATCGGAACTGTGCTGAGAGGTGTTTTCTTCTATGCAAAATCTTCCTGGCCCTGGAATCATGTGTTGCTGTTGGTTGTGAGAGCGCTCCTATCGGTCGACTTGGAAGCGAGGTGCAGCTCGCCTACGCAGATATTTACGAAAGTAGAATCCATGTACTCCTCGGACGATATTAGTCACCCTATTCAGAACGAGTAATGCACATTGGAATGAGAATCGTTGCCTTGGTTTTGATACCATGGAAGATATCGAGAAAAGTTTGATTGTAAAAGATCTACAGAAGAAGAGAATACGGTTTCCAAAGCATTGCGCACCAGAAACGATGGGCCACACTCCTCAGTAGAGCAAGACCTAAAGAGTCATGTCGACCTCTAAGCGCGGCTGAAGCACTTAGTGACCAACTCGCGATCAGTGGAGCCATTGGGCGTCAGACCAAGCACGTAGCTCTGATCAAACGCACCAGCCGACCAGCCAATGTAACCAAGGTAGACATCGCTGTTCTTGTTCAAGCTATCGAGCGCAGCGCAGACATCCTGCTCGCACGAAGCAGTGTTGCCGCCACCGACCTCAGACAAGATAGCCTGACGCTTGTTGTCACGGAGCCAAGTAGCGAGCGGTACGAAGGAGTCCTCGACGTGGTCGCTCGTGCACTCGGCGTGGGTACCGGAGTTGTCGCTGTCGAGGTAGCGGTGGACGTCGAAGATGAGCTTGTCGGTCGTGCCGTCGGCATCCTTGACCTTGAGGAGGGAAGGTCCGCTGGCGGTGGGGAAGGTACCTGCGGATGTGTAGTCGGTACCTGGGAGGAGGATCATTTGCGACTTGGCGCCGGCCTTGCGGATGGCGGTGACGGCGGCCTGGCACGAGTCGGCCCAGGTGGACATGGTGAGGTCGTGGGGCTCGTTCATGAGGCCAAAGGCAACGTTCTTCTCTGATGCGTACTTCGTTGCGATCTTGGTCCAGACATCCGCGAACTGTGCGTTGGTGGGTCCGCCTTGACCGACGATCTGGCCGTTCCAGCGGGCGTAGTTGTGGAGGTCGAGAAGGCAGACTGCGCCAGTGGCCAGGCAGCCTTGGACGAGCTTGTCGTAGGCAGCGCTGACGGTGGCGTCAAGGTTACCACCGAGAGTGTTGCCGGTCAGATGCTGCCAGCCGATGGGGAGACGGTAGATGTTGAGCTTGTCGTCCTTGGTGAAATGCTGCATTTGAGCGATGCCGTTCGCACCGGGGTCGACATAGGCTCCGCTGCATGATCCGGATGTGTCGCATCCGAAGTCGAAACCAGCAATGTTCATACCGGCGTACTGGGTCTTTCCGGAGCTGGCAGCAGCGTTGGCAGCGACGGCAGCCTTGCTGGGGGCGGCAACAGCTACTGCTGCTGGAGAAGAGGTCTTAGCAGCGGGTGCCTTGGTGGCAGTCATCATGGTTGTAGGAACAGGGCTTGCTACAGGGCTTGCTGCACCGGCACCAGGAACACACTGAGAGTACCAGTCGTTCTGGACCTCACAGTGGTATCCGGAGACGCATGCCGTGGCACCGGTGAAGCCCTTTCCACCACACTGTGTGTAGGCTGCGCTCTGCGCAGCGTAGGCACCGCTTGCTGCTAGAGCAGCGAATGCGAAGGAGTAACGAGCCATTGAAGCGAAGTTTGGATGAAGGAAGGAAGAATTTGAATAAACGAAGCAGTGACAAAGCGATCTAGCACAAGTAGAAGTAAAGGATTGAAACTTCACAAATGTGATGGAGAACAATAGAGAAGGTGGGTAGGTAGGGCTTTTATCATCCCATGGTAAGAGTAGGTACTCCAAGGGTCACGTCCTTGCGTTTCCAACCCGTTCGAGACCTACATTCCAGAAGACGGCGTGGCGGCACGTAGTCTCCGCATTGTTCCCACCGTTTCATGATCATTACCGAGAAGCTCGGTGGTATTGAGTGGCTGTGAGCAAGAAACACGGGAGATGGGTCGCAAGTGCGACGTTCCTGGCATCTGGAGCTGTCAGTGCTGTCATCGGAGCCTTCGGAGGGCGGCGGCTAGTCCAAGCGAGATGGTCGACCCGCTTTTTGGCTTGCTTTCGAACCCGGTGAGCGGTTTCGAGCCCGTTCGTGGTGTTGGAGTGAAACAACTAGGCTGGGTTTTGTGGGGAACGGCGTAATGTTTCTTCATTTCGCCAAGATGAGAGGGGTGTGACAAGCTTCAGGATTCACGGAGAATAGAAGCTTGGTATGCTTGTTCAAAGACGCATCGTCGTGTTGGAAGGCTTGTTCTGAGTGGCGCAAGGGAGAGGTATCTGGTCCTTGTGGTTCAATGATTAGGCTGTCGTACGTCTTTGTGACGTGGAGTTGGGTCGTCAAAGTCGTGGGGTGAGCCGCGGTCCAGGTACCGCCGGGTTACAACCGGTGGAAGAAGTCGACATCGTGGAGTGCTTAGTTTGTTTTACAAACGTGCACATTCGTAACGGGTAGACAGCGAAGATCTCATGTCATCATGCCGTACGGAAAGATTACGCGTGCTTCGTGGCTGCCATTCTGTTCATCTTTCTGGTGTCGCCTTGGAAATCTGAGACATCCTCTACCGATCTTCATCCTCGGCTTCAGAGCGTCCCGATGCGCAAAGAAGTATTTGGACAGTTTCACACGTCTCTGTGAAGTCTGTACTCCTCAGGTGCGCGTTCTTTTCATCTGCTGACCTTGCCACTTTTCTTCGAGACCATCTATGCCATCGGAAATAACATCACCACCCGTGTGCCATTATATTCTTTTTCCTCATCGTTGACGTCGTCTATTCCCTCATATCTTTGTATTGGTAAGAAACCAGCCTTAAAGGCATCAGGCTTTGCCTCCTCATCGACCACGTGCCGTTTCCTCTGGTTATCGCCTTGTCCTCCTACCCGTTCACATCCAGCCGTGGGAATGGATGGCTGATTGTCCATCGACGATCGCGTTCGTTTCGTGCCTCGTTTGTTGGTGCCGGCACTGGATCATTCGCCAAGGACTGACAAGGGCTGACGAGGTAGATTGAATGCGCTAGCATCTGTTTCGAATATTTCATACCTGCCATAGTTCAACATTTGGAGCCTGCTTTCCAGAAAGAACGCTGTTCTCCATGTGAGTATCGAGGTTGCGAGGAGTTCAACGGCAGTCGTGTCGAAGACGATGCGGTCGATGATTCGAGGCGACGGCCTACTCCGTAAAGTCATCGTTGGTCTCTTCCATTGATAGACAGCGCGGGAAAGATTCGAAACTTCTATTGTAATTCTGATCAGCATTTTGTATGTGCGATAGGTCTTTTCATCGGGTTTCATCTGGCATGGACATTGCAAAACCTTCACAGCTTGGATGCCATCTAACAATACAATACAGAGTCTCTAACTCCCGCGAAGCGGCCCTGCACAGGGTGTAGTTTTCGCAAAGCAACAGCCTGTACCTTAAACTCCTTTCTATAGCCTTCTTATACTTTATTATAGCCTGTTGCTGCTGCTGTAAGGGGTGTAAGACGCCTCTTTTTAGCTGTGCGCAGCTATTAATAAGAACGCAGCTTAAACAGAGAAGCGGGCTTACTTACACCCGCTTCTACACCCGTGCGGCTTGGCCTATCACCTGGCATTGAAAGCCGGTCTGCAGAGTGCAAACCGCAAGGCTGTGTAGTTCTACGGCTACAATCATCGACTAGAGCCCTTGAATGGAGTATTCTCAAGCCTGAAGGTGTATGTCGCTGGTGTTCGTTCGGTCCAGCAGCCAGAATGACGACCCCGCCTTTCCCAAAACAGTTAGCTTGTGTAACTTGGCAGCCATCCACACGCATTACAGCGAATATAATGCGCTTCCTAGCCTTGCGACTCTTATCTTCCTTCCCCATTTTCGCTCTCAGATCAGTGCGGGTTACGGGATCGACGAGCAGGTCCCCAAAGCAGGTTCAGGATATCCCAAAAACAAGCCCATGTCGCAAGCCTCGTTTGCTGCTACCGTCGATTGACCTTACTTGACGCTATGCCTACGGTCGCTATCAAACCCGGTGCGACAGTGTTTGTAACAGGCGTCAACGGGCTCGTCGGAAGCCATATCGTCGATCAGCTTCTGAAGCGAGAGTACAATGTCCGCGGTGCTGTGAGAGATACCGAGAAACACAAATACATGACCGAGTACTTCAACGATAAGTACAAGAAGGCGAAATTTGAGTTGGTCGAGGTGCCGGATATGACGGTCGAAGGGTGCTACGACGATGTCGTTGATGGTACGTCGAACCTTATGTCGTTAGTGATATCTTGACTTCTAATATTGAACAACTTCATTCGCAGATATTGAAGGCTTCATCCATGTCGCTTCTCCGATCGGAGGCATCTCTGACGTCAATGAAGCGATCTCCATTACCGTGAAGGCGGGTCTAAACGGTCTCAAGGCTTGCGCGAAGGTACCCTCATGCAAAGGTTTCGTCTTCACCTCGTCATCCCTTGCCGCAACGTTTCCTCATCCAAATGTGGAATTCTCAATCGATGAGAACACATACAATGATGAAGCATTGAAGATTCTGGAGAAAGAGCCTGGCAAACCAGGGCTGTTTGTCTACGCCGCCATGAAGACTGAGACCGAGAAGGCGATGATGAAATGGATGGAAGATAATCAGCCCGGCTTCGTGTTCAACCGCGTTGTGAGCAGAAAATTCAACGCTTTAGAAAGGTCATCGTTAACCCCAAATAGTTGCCAAACGCCAATTTTGGCCCCGTCGAGATCCCCGAGTATCAGGGCTTCCCTTCAACCATCGGTTGGGCTCGTGCTGCATGGGAAGGCGAACAGCTCAACTTTTGGACAACTTCCGTTGGTCCGCAATGGTACGTCCATCCCGTTGACTGCGCGCTCGTACACATCTCCGCGCTGATCCACAGCGATGTTGAGAATGAACGTCTCTTTGCTTTTGCAGAACCGTGGAGCTACAACCAGATGTTGGATATATGGCGTACACTGTATCCTGAAAGGGAGTTTCTGGATAACATTGAGGGCATGGGCGTTGACAAAATGAGTTTGCCAAACACCAGGGCAGAGGAAATCATGAGCTGGCTGAAGGGACTGGGCTCGAGATGGGATAGTCTTGAAAAAGGCTTGCGAGAGATGACTGAAAACTGGGTTTGAACACTCCTTGTTGTTGAAGTCGCTGGGTATGCGACTGTCGTCAGCTGTGTAGTTGTTCAGCGAGCTTACCATGTTGGCAATGAAGCCATGTCAATCCACGTTCCTCGAACACGTCCTGGTCGTATCGCCTTCCGTCGTCCAGTGGGTAGAATCCTTCTCGTTTTCGAGTCAAAACCGCTCGTGCTATGAGATTCTTTGCGCAACAGAGGATGGAAAATTTCGAAGCGCGGCCGCGGCAACCCAATCCTGTACGTCAAGCCACTACAAGCCACGACCGCTCAGGGCGCAGGAAAATTAGACCCTTGTCCCCCGCAGAAGTAACCTACGATACGCGGGGAGGAAAGTTGGAGTTGGCGAAAGCAGGGTGCCAAGTCGTGGGGTTATTCGTGGGAAAATGTCACCAAGACGAGGCGTTCACTTGGCGACGCATCTCATAGTCTGGGGATACATCGGTTAAATCTGCGCCAAGTTTGCTACACCACCGTTCTCGCATCGTCATTCACGGAAACAACCTGGATGCCAGTTCTTCCGCTGGCTTGGAGGCTGTGATACCGGGGTAACTTTGTGGAAGCTATGGCCTTGTGCAGCTACACGAGCATATGGAAAACGGTCGCGCCAGGATTGTAAGTGGAATCGCGTGGGAACAATGCGCGTGATGAGGCTTCTGGACGGAAGGAGAGCTGGGCAAGAAGGTGTTGTGGGTGATATAAAAGCTAGGGCAGCTGCAAGCAATGCAAAGTACCTCTCCTGCATCTCGACAGTCTTCAATTGACCTAGAATCTCAGTCAGAAGAGCTCAAATACCCTCGTACTTCACAGCCAGTCGTCGCGATGAAGCTCTCTACCTCTGTTATCCTCCCTCTTCTTCCCGCGCTCTCATCGGCAGCAGTGATCCGTCGTCAGAATGGCGATGGACCCCAAGGAGGCGCAGACTCCACTCAGGGCGATCTCGGTGCACGGCCTCTTCCACGATTCCCTTTCCCGGTTACCAAGTTCCCGGTACCGACTGAGACGGTCGTCTTCAACGAGACCATGTACATTCAGCCCGGCCAGGTCTTCGATGGGCAGATGAAGCGTTATGAGCGCGTGGAGGGCTCGTGCAACGAACAGGCCGAAGGAACAGACGCCGATGCTGTCTTCAATCTTCTACCTGGTGCCACAATTAGGAACGTGGTCATTGGAAAGCACCAAAGCGAGGGCATTCACGCGCTAGGCGATGCATGGGTCGAGAATGGTAAGCTTCGAGACCGGAGGTGATCTGACCAGCATACTAACTTTTTCATAGTCTGGTGGGAGGACGTGTGCGAAGATGCCCTTACGTCCAAGGGCCTCAACACCCAGCTTCGCGTTATCGGAGGCGGTGCTCGATCCGCAACCGACAAGATCTTCCAGGACAACTCTCTAGGCGGAAAGTTCAACATCACTGGATTCTATGCCGAGACTTTCGGCACCTTCTACCAGTCGTGCGGCAACTGCTTGAACCAGGCGAAGCGCAATGTCACCATCCAGAACGT